TTTTTTCAATAAAAAAAATTCTAAAAATTTTTAGATGTCGGCTAACTTTATTATCATTGTTAATGTCAATATAATTAATAATTCCAAAAGAAGTGCCCATTTTACCCCAAACGTTCGATATGCCCACTTTTACTACTTTCCTAACCTAAAACTAAAAATCATTGCTTTGAGTATATTTAAACATACCATTTATTTATAGTTAACAAATCTGATTTGGTTGAAATTTACGATTGTTACCACCAAAGAAATATTTGTTAACTATAAACAAATATGGATTTCATTCAAATATACTTCAACTTTTTCTCAAATAAATCAATTTATTTGAATCAAATGAATATTTCTGGTGATATTTAAATAAGAGATTTATTTATAGTTAACGAGCCTCATTTCATTCAAATGAACTGTTTTCTCAGTGATAGCTTTAAGTATCTGATTCTTTGAATCTGAATTTAAAAATTCTCTAGTGCAAGCGGTTTTTTTGACTAAAACGATTATAACAAAAAAATTCTAAATCTTTGCTTAACTTTGAAACGGCTCATGGACTCGAATTAGTTTTATTCAATAATTATTGATAATTATTGAAAATTATTGATCATGTCACTATAAAGTAAATTTATGTATAGTTAATTTTACCTTCAAGAATTCTGTTTTGTTAACTTCATTATATGACATTTTACAAGTTAAAGTCGTAATTTTCTGAAATGCCACATTTTTCATTTTTGCTGAGTTAAAATTTTGAGAGAATAATACAAGCTACGAAATAATTTTTGCTAATTTCTGTTAAACATATGGCATATGACTTATTGTTAGTACTATAGGGTCCGAAATTTTGAAATTTGTGTTGTTATTCTTGTCAACGTCGATTGATAAATAATTATATGAAAATTCTAATCAATTTCATTGCAGGAGTTGATAAAGTAACATGTGTTCGACTAGAGAAAATGTTAAAAAGACCATTATTATACTTGGCATGTCGACATCACATTTATGAATTGATCTTGAGGAGCGTTGTTGAAGTTGTTTGGTCAGGAGTGAATTCTCCCAATGTAGCGATTTTTGTACGCTTCCAAAATATTTGGAAGAATATAGACCAAACAAAATATGACACTGGTACTCAAGATTCCCTGATAATGAACCAAGTTCAAGGTAAAAAAGATGAAATAATAAGTTTCATCATTAACAAACTTCAGGTAGCTATAATTATCTTATTTATCTATTAATTACCTCGTGCTATTAAGTCATCTTATCAAGATTTAAACATGGTTAAAAATCTTTATACATTCCGTTCTGTTCATAAGCAAATTTCTGATGCAGCAACTTCGACAATATCAAGACATTTATGGTACTTATCGGAAGAATTGATTGGTTTAGCTTTGTTTGATGATGCAGTTTCTTTAGAAATTAAAAGACAGACCGTAAGTGCCATGAAAACGCGCAAAAGTGATCAATCAAACTTCAAAAAGTTTTCTGTCACAGATATAAGCTTATTATTATCGATGAACATCAGCGATTTCGCGAGCAAGCGGTCGTTATTTTTATTTGAACAGTTAGAACTGAATCATGATTTTATGGACAAGGATCCAGAGCTCTGGACTTTCGATCAAAATTATCAACAATGCAAATTTGTTCTGTCAGACTTAAAAGTTGTTAATGATCTCGCTGAAAGAGACGTTGCATTGATCCAGGAGTACAATGATTGTTTGACACGAAGTGAGGAACAGAAGCAATATTTACTGCAAGTGGTCGGAGAGCATCGTAAAAGACTTCCTAACTTTAACAAAAATATACTTGTAACTGCTTACTCTAAGAAATAAAAAGAAAATATTTTTATGCGTGTTAAACTATATAATTATCATTAGATTGATTATAAAAAATTTCAAGACATTATCCTTTCTCTAAATTCTACCCTTACTACTGAAGCAAGTAAGTAATTCTTATTTTGTAATTTGTTCTTATCTGTTTTTAATCTGTAATTTTGATATTTATTTCCATAATGATTTCATTTGTATCTATTTAACATTTATGCAAGACAGAATTGTAAAATTAACAATAATATTGTTAACATTTTTTAGCCACAGGTTAAATAAAAAATTTACAAAGGTTAATTTTGCCGTAAATTGACTAAGGTTTTTAAATTTTAATTATATTTCATATCCTTTATCAATATATTGTATAAAATAGTTGAAAAATCATAAAAATATGACTGACTTAGTCTGTAAATTTTATGGTTTGATACTACGAAACATCTTACACACCAAATTTTGTTGTAAGTTTGATGTGTTAACAAATTTTTACCAAATTTTTTGCATAATTATCGATATTTCAGTTCGTAAAAGTGAAAATTTGAAAAAATAAATATACATGAGCCTGTAACTTCGTTGTTATTGATGATGTGAAAAAATTGACAAAAGTTTTTTTGTAGAATATTAAAAGTACTACAAATTTGCCATTTAACATTTTTGTCTAACTCTTACAGTTTAAATAAAAAAGGCAAAAAACCGGAAATTTGAATTTCAAAGCTATGTAACAAATCAAATATTGAAGATAGAAATTCGACTCAGGAGAATTTTTTGTAGCAAATTTAATAATAAACAAGGTCTATCCATTCGTTTTTTTAAAAAATAATTTCATCACAGTTTGCAGGACAAAAAACTAATAAAAAATCATGTTTCCCATGTTATTTAAACGGAAAAACTTCAAGTTCGATGGAGGACATCTTAGAATTGGAATTTTGAGCTCCGCTTTTAACAGGAGCTTTGTTGGGACATCTTCTAAGATATTTTGGATTAAGAGCAAAAAAAAAAAATATCGTCTTTTTTTGGCACGCTTCACGTAATAATTATCCGTAACTCCTATTCTTTCCCGCTTCAGAGCATTATTTATATTTGTTAAAAATGCTAGCCGTAAGATGGACGGTGTGGCTTAATGTATATAGAATAAGTGAAAGGAAATTTAGTATAGACCGGATAGCTCAAATGGTAGAGTAGCCGACATGTCTTCGGAAGGTTCTGGATTCGTATCCCAGTCCGAGCTATCTAATAATTTTTCTCGCATATTCTATACACTCACATTAAGATGATCCTCTCTACAATCCTTTCTCAATCCGGCAATTGGTACACGCTGGAGAACACAGCAACCCGACTAATTTACAGCCACATTTGGCACTATAACCTGTAACGTAGATTTTTCTTACACGGTAGATCTTCACGGCAGCCCATAATTAACTTCGATACACTTCGTCCATCTCAGCCATCTCTCGATCCTCCAGGAACCCCGACAGGCGCCAGCCGACTTTTGTTTCACCGGTATCGGCAACTGGAATACGATAACTTATTTTTTATGTCCCTAGAAGACCAACAGCAGTCTCGACGGTAACGGAATACCTCGGTGTCGCTCAGTTAGGCTGGTTATGGAGAAAGGGTCGTGATTCGGTTTCTCAGAGGAAG